CTTTTCCTGGTTTCTTTGTTAAACAACATTTAATAAAATGTCCAACTTTTCCGCACTTCCGACATTCCTTATTCCGAGCAGGACACGATACGTCCTTTGCAAAATGCCCCTCTCGTCCACAACGAAAACACTTCTTGTCCTGAAATCTGTGTTTCTGTTTGTCAGTTTTTTCACGATGTCCCTGAATTCTGTTTACTGACGCCACAATTTCAGTGTCCATATGCCTAGCCTGTGTTTCAGTCATCTCAAATGTAGCTGCTATAGTCCTCAATTGCTCTAAAGTCAAGTCTTTTCCTTTCTCTAACAACTTGGCTCTTATCTTGTGAGACCTGCACTTTTCAATCACTTGATCCCGAATTTGCTCATCCTGATTTGTGAAGTCACAATACACAGCCTGTTGTCGTAATTTTGTAATAAACTGTTCTACTGTTTCACTCTCGGTTTGCAGAATTTTCCTAAAAACATATCGTTCATACGGAACGTTAACTTTATTCTCAAAATGTTTATCTAACGTTTTCACAGCTAACGTATACACATTGTCATTGTCACCTGCTTGTTCAACATTCAATGTATAAAAAATGTCTTGAACTTCGGGTCCAGCACAGTGCAAAAGTAATGCTTTTTTTTGTTCAGCGTCACTCACCCCTTTTCCAACAGCGAAAAGCTCAAAACTTCCGGTACTACGAATCACCGGAATGCCCTGTAATCACCGAAATGCCCCAAGAAATCACCGAAATGCCATCGAAAAGCCCCTTATATTGTCAAGAATAAACAAAAAAATAATAAATATTGATGAAATTAACTGTTCTAAAGCCTAAATACCAAGTAAAAATTTCATAATTTTAGCGTAAGTATTTTTATTTGAAGATATGTGCCTGTAAGTATTAAAGAAAGATAACTCGTGCCAAAATAGTTTTATTTATTTTAATTTTCCCTCTTTTTCGTTTAAATATATTCCTAACAATAAGTTATTCTTTATAAAAAAAAATTGTTTGTAATATTGTTGACGTATTTTCTTGATTTCTAAAAAAGGAGGACATATGTGTAATTTTAATAGAAAATCCTATATTAACAATGTGTATATTAAGTTTAATACATTTATAATCAAATAGAAAAAATTTACGTTTATAGTATGTAAACAAAAATATATGCCATATATGATTTTAATCAAAATTTATTTTTTATTCACTGAACTATAAGATTATAAGCTTGGTATAATCAGGGACTTATATATGTCCCTGGTACATTGTTTAATTTACAAGGATCGATGGAAATGGTTGATAGTGTATGATAAATATTACATGTATAAATCAAAGTTTTGCTGATCCAATTCGTAAATAAATGACATTAAATTATGTTCACATTATCTCTGAGGAAAATAAATCATTATACACTTTTTTTCATTTCAGCACAGAAAAGAACTGCAATATTGAAAGAAATTTAATAAAATATATAAAAATTATAAATTTATTTCATTTTTGTTATATAAGATAACAAACTTTTTTGGAAGTTTCATATTTTACTATAAAAGATAAAAAAAAGAACGAAGACAAAATTAATTTGATTTTATTGTGTTCAATGTTCAATTGGTTTGAAACAATTGGATGTCTGAAATAATATGTTTACTGTGTATACACAGTGATTAATTTATTGGTCTAGAGACAGGTGTGTAGTACTCTTATGTCATGTTACATAATCAGGTACATGACAATCAGTGACCGAAATTATGCACGTGCGCTATACAAACACAGGAAAGGGGATCTTTTGCTAATGAACAGTTTACTACATCAATTGAAAATGAAATAGAAAAGGTTGAAAATTTACCTTACCGGTATTTTTTTTTAAGTTGTTGAATGGGTGGAATATAGACATTACATGATTTATCAAGCACTTGCTACTTCCGAAATATTTGCCACTATACAAGAGAAACGATCCGTAATTGACCTGACTGACAATGTATCTAATCAATTGCAAGTAACAAATTAAAATAAATATTTATTTTAAAAAATGAAAACATTTTCATTGCTTAATGAAGTACAGAGTAAATAACTTTTTTTTCCTTTTGTGATTGCATTTGTCTTTTGAAAATCTTTCATATCGATCGTAAATTATCACAGGAGTTGGTCTACCGGTACCTTCTCTCTCTCTCTAATTTTGTTTGGTAAAACATTAATTTTATAGTCCTTAAAATAAGATATTATTAATAAAAGATAAATTTACTCCATAAATAATGACGGGTATTAGGATTTTACCGCCAGACCTACATGTATTTCCCCAGACAGGCGTCGGCAGGCGTATAAATTGTCCAACCTGGTTCACAATTAAGACTAGGAACCTATACAAACCATATTTTAACATTACATTATTAATCAAAGGTCATAAAACAATCATCGTGGCGTGTCAAAATCACTTGTCATCATTTTTTTTCCTGAGAAATATCATTATTATTTTATATATATCTCTATTAGCATGATTAGGCTACGTAGATCTCGCTTCCTAGAAAATTATCATCAAATACGAGTTATCTCCCTTTGAAGTACGCGAGCACAAAACCTGAAAATAATTATTTTACCGTCAGTTATGCTTTAATGATAAAAATAAGAATTAATTTTTATGAAAAACATCATGTAAAAACATATGTGTGGGCATTTCGGTGATTTTGTTGGGCATTTCGGTGATTTGTAAGGGCATTTCGGTGATTACGGGGCATTCCGGTGATTCGTGTTACCCCAAAACTTCGGTGCCACCTTTTCCATGCTTGATTTAATTGTGACGGTTCAGCATTTGGATCAAATTTCCCAACTCCGTTGAGTTCTATTAGTGTAGCCATCTTGTAGTTTTCGTTATCCTCGTCGCCAGTGAAGAATACTCGAATTGAATCAAGGTTTTACCAGTTTATTCATGTATACAGGTACATAACCACATGCTTCCACTCTGACGGTCCATGCACGCACTACTCATGCCGGATACACACTGACACCTGACCCACACTACGAACCATAACTCTAGCACACAAACTCTTACACACAAGTGACACAACACAAATTAGAGTTACTTCCCTTAACACTACATTCCCGAAAAATGGTGACAGATATCCTTGTAATTGTTTTGTATTATCAGCCTCAGAGTTCTTCACTATGTCTTTTAAAGTTTTCTTACCTACAACTTGCTAACTTCCATGTTTGTCTAAAGCGAAAGTGAAAACGAGGCAGCTCGTGCGAGTCATTATTCGCTTTCAGCGGTCGTTATTAAAAAATAAGTACTTCGTATTGACCAATCAGATTATCGGATTTCACAAAGTTATATAATATTATACAGTTATTGACTGGGTATGAGGGCAACATATGATTTGTTGGACCTGAAGGTGAAAATGTTGCTCGAGGCCGCAGGCCAAGGGCAACATTTTCATCTTCAGGTCCAACAAATCAAATGTTGCCCGAATCCCAGTCTATAACTGTTTTGTTATACCCTTCACTGCTCACTTAAGATTGATCAATTTTATCTTCAGTAGATATATAAAACATCAAGCTGAGGAAGAACAAAATCAATTATAAATCTATTATATCACAAAAATTATTTATCACAATACATACTCTTCCCTTCTACCTTACCTTACTCTTAGCAACAACTCTTAATAGCTCTTATCTTCGGCTATTTTCGCGTCGCCGATATTGAACGATGATTATTAATTGTGACGTAACAGACGAGTGACGTTGCGGTCTAACAATTCTTATGTAAGACCGGTCAACAGTGAAATTGTTAGACCGATGTAATAAACATTTCTTTTGTTGGACTTTTTATTAGTAATAAATATATAGAAGGATATTTATAAGGGTATAACAAAACAAATTAAATTGGTTATAACAAATTCGACAATTCGTTATATCGATTCAAAAATATTTTTTGATAGGTCCTAAATGGGCTTCCGTAGTATGTGGGTTTTCCGTATTTAACTTGTTTTTTGAATTTACTGAAAAATTCGGTAAAATGATCCTTGATTTGATTTGTAATAATATTTTTCTTTGAATTTAAACTTAATCCTAAATAATATTCTAATCAATGAATCCCTTGATACAAATATATCAAATTAATTATACACTGAGTCTGTATGTAATCACTCCAGAATTTTAAACTTTTTTCTTCATTCAAAATTTCAAACAAATGTAATACTTGAATTTAATCAATTATTAAGTTTGTAAGAATCAGGGAAAAGGTAAACCATGAGGGTTCTCATAACTCGATGATTTTTCACACATAGGTTTTTCTTTCACTATGAACCACGGATGTACATGTAAAATAAAAATCATTTTGGGTCCTGGTTACTAAGGAAAACATACCATAGAAATTTTCCTAACAACCAGTCAATTTTCCATGTGGATGAATAAACTTAAAGAATCACTGTCTAGTTAGTATAGTATGCAAGGGCATCAACGATAATGGGAAACATGGAATAATTTGCATAACGGGCATCACAATGGGATTCAAAACAAGTCTTCTTTTCAAGTATGGCAAAATTATACATATATGCTTTATTGATATAGTGACCTTCTCTGAAGTAATAGAAAATTCAAAGCCCCCTCCCCCAACAAGAAAACTTTTCAATACTGAGCTGATTTGTGTTTTTAACTAGCCTATGTACTCAGGTGAGCGATGTGGCCCCTGGGCCTTGTCATAAGATGTCATCCGAAGCGTGCATGGTCCTATAACATCTAATAGCAAAAGGACTGTCATGTGTAAGTAAAGTTTCTTTTGTTCTCAGGAATCAGCATTGGCCATGGGAATGACAAACAAAATTCATTCCCCAACCCCACGTGCACCCCTCCAACTCAAGCAGGTACATGTAACTGGCAGGTAATTTTTATCCTTTCTGACAAATACTAAAACATACATATTATCTAGTTTTAATAGTTTCAAGAAATATAAAAATTAGAAGTATGAACAAGGACAGTCAATAATAAACAACATGTAGACTAAAGTGGCTATTTAGACAATCATGCAACTTTCTCAAACTTTGTTCTTTATTAAGGGCGAACACAAGAACATTCATCACACACAATTTGGTAGCAATGTGTCTTGGTTGCCATGGTACATTAAGTAAAAGACTTTGGAATTTCAAGATTTTTACCTACATCTACTTTGAACAGATTTGTGGCAAGACTGAGACAAAGAATGTCAAATTGACCAATTCTTAGATGTACACAAAAGCATATTACCTAGTTGCCACATACAATATACATATACTGTAAAGAAATGACTGCTCTTGTTTTAAAGAGAAAAAAGAATGACTCTGAAATATGAATGCTACAGGATTTAAAAGAAAACTCCAATAATTATTGCTTTATTTCTTAAAAAGAAAAATAACACAACAAGATAACAACAACCTGTCATACTTTAACAATACTTATAGATACATACATGTAGTACATGCAAGTATACACAGACATCATAATTAAAACTAAATGTAAACGGTATAATTCACAACTGTTGCAATCTTTTTATGTGGTTACAAGCATAATATTTACTGGTACATGTATAAATGTATATCAGAAGTCCTAAAATTCACAGTGGTTGGTATTGAAGTATAATGAATATAATCAAATTGAAAACTTAAAGAAATTAGCACAGTGACGAAGCATTAGCACTTTCATTTACTATTTTCAAAGATGCTTTATATTATAGATGTATACATGTAGATATACATGTCAACATTTTCTTTTTAATGGGATGATACATGTATCTTTTGTTTGAGCTGGTCTCCAAGTGGTACATTTCACATATTTTTGAAATTCGAAAAATTACTTTAATATTACTATAATAAGAAAACTAAATGAGTTATAACTACTTTTTCTCAAATTACTTGAGATCTTATAAGCACCAACATAGTTTCAAATAAATTAATGTCTCAAAAAATACATGTAGATTTATAAAGCAAAGGATTATTCTTGTTACAAAAATATCATAACTTTAATACCTGGGTACTTATGTCTAGTAATACAATGTACCATGAAAGGAAAAGAAATCTCTAATGGCTGGTTCCACATGTATTTAATTTCAAAAGAAATATATTTATAATTTGAAACAAATGAAAAACATTCCCTGATAGGATATTACGGCAGAATAGAGAATTTGTAAGTTGGTGGGATGCCATAAATGCAGACCAAGTCCAACATTAGAAACACATTAATCAATAAATCCAACAACCTTGAATTCATTCTGAAAATCTTTTATTTATCATGCTAATTAATGGGTCTAGGCATTCTGAGTAAAAATGGAGACTTCAACCTGAAGTTTTGTTTTAAAAAAACACTTCAACATATGGTAATAACTAATATTGCACTTGAATTAACAACAACAAAATTTAAAAAACATTTAAAAGATATGAGTTCGAGGAACAGAGATTTTTGTTGTAACTGGAATACTGTATTTCAACATTTCCTCCGATATGACCTATCTCTGCATCCAATCTGATCAAAACTGTGTCTTCTAATCCACTCAGGTAGTATCTTAGCTATCTTGTCAAAATAAGTGTTTTACTGAACATGCTGAAGTGGATGAAAGAACATGATTTTATACAAACTGTCTCCACATGAAAATATTGGTAAGATTGTTTTCTCTTGTACAGAAATGGAAAGCAAATCCATCACAAAAATGATCAAGGAGACCTAATAAAACATGTCCTCTACTTTGTTCTAGACTAGCACTTAAAAGAACATTCTAGAATATATCATAGAATATATAAATCTGCCCCTAGTCCGATTGCCGAGAGACCAGTTACAGAATAGAACACCCACAGCAGCAGGTCTGGGGGTAGTTGGGTGCGTAACAGTGGTGTTCAAATCCGTAAACAAAGAAGTCTGATTCTGTATTCTTCCATTTGTACATACACTGTGTCACAGGAACTATCCTTACTCTGTGTCTCTGAAATAAGAAGGTGGACATTTTACACAAATAAAAATTATTGAGAAAAGATCAGGTGCAAGAGATGTAAATGGAAGAAAAAAAATCATTTTTAAAAATTTTAGCCTAAAGTCTTTCTGGGTTTTCCAAAATCACATAAATCATTGCAACCATATACATAAAATGAATTATCATGAGATATTTTCAAACTTATTGATTGTATTCAAAAAATGCAAAGACTATTTTCACTACGCATGACTATTTATTTATCTGCAAATACCTGCATCAGAATACGTTCGGAGGGAAACTGGTGATTGCTAATCAAGCGTCCTGAGGCTTCATTAATTTCTCTTTCATGGAAGTGATTGATTGGCCAAACCTAAAAAGAACGATTTTGAAAGTCTAAAATTTCATTATGTTCCTGATTCGTTCTAATTTTGCTGACTAAGGGGCCTTGGCTCAATTACCTTTGGAATGGAGCTTTACTTGTGGATTTATCCTTGTGTAAAGTAGACATTATGGTAATTCAGTGATAATTTGTGAATAAACACAAACTGCAGGGTTCGATATTCACTATATACAACTCACAAAATGCAAGTCAGAATATCCAAATTGCGAGTTAAAAATTTTGTATCTCGCAAAAATTTGCCAGTTGACTTTTTCATTGTAAATTTCACTTTAAAAAAAATCTGTTTCAACCCAGATTTAGTCTTTCTCTCTTTATAGTTACTGTTTATATCTGCCATGTTTAAATGAACGAGCAAAGTGCCATGTCGGATGATCAAGTCGAAAATTATGTATTTTTCAAAAGATGGATAAGCAGCTTTTATTTTTAAAAAGCTTTCATTTTGAAATTGCGAGTTGTCTTTTGAAAATGCGAGTTCATTTTTTTGGTACTTGCAATTTTTTGCGAGTTGTAATTTTAGAGAGTTTCTAGCCCTGATACCTGGCAAAAAACAAAACATTTGGACAGAAAGTTAGCTTACATTAAAAAATGCATTTTTTGATGAAATGGTTCAAATGGCAAAAGTAATTTTACACTGACCATTCCCAATATAATCTCCTTTCAATCCCTTTATTAAATTGATCCATTTAAAAAAAACGTTTCTAAACAGATTTTGCTAAAGTAGGCAAAAGTAAAATTCATGCAAATAACAAGAGGCCCTGGGGCCACAATGCTCACCTGAGCACATCAGCTATGAAAAAGCACATTAATCAGATCAGAACTAAAAAGTTTACGCAGGGGGGGGGGGGGGGGCTTGAATTCTAATACTACTTCAGAATGCCTCCATATCAATACTGTCTATAACTTCTTGAGAAAAAGATTGTTATAGATTTTTTTTTACATTTTATTTGTATATAATACTTTGTAATAAATTGAATTTTACTCCCCATTGCTTCCCTCCCTACCCCAAAGGATACTCATGATTTGAACAAATTTAAATATTCAATGCATGAGGATGCTTACTTATCCAATACGACTAAACATAGATTTTCTGTTATTGGGATTTTCACCTTTATTTTCCTATGTAAAACTTTGATCCATTGAGACCCTTCTTTCCCCTTTGAGGTTATGATTTGAATAAATTTAATTCTACACTATCTGAGGATGCTTCCATATAAATACCACTAACCATGGCTTTGCTATTCTATGGAAAAAGATTTTCAAAAGTATGTTTTAATGTAAAACTCGGACCCCCATTGTGGCCCCACCCTATCCCTGGGGGTTATGATTTGAACAAACTGGAATCTACAATACTTGAGGATGCTTCAATGTAAATATCACTAATCATGGCTTTGCAGTACTTGAGAAGAAGATTTTTAAAGATTTTTCCAATATATTCCTATGTAAAACTTTGATCGGACATTTTGACCCCACCCTACCCCTGGGGTCATAATTTAAACAAACTTGAATGAACACTATCTGAGGATGCTTCCATGTAAGTTTTATCTTTCCTGGCCCAGTGGTTCTTGAGAAGATTTTTTAAAATGCCATTAATTTTTCACTAATTCATAATTATCTCCCCTTGGAAGAGGGCTTGGCCCTTCATTTGAACAAACTTGAATCCCCTTCACCCAAGGATACTTTGTGGCAAGTTTGGTTGAAACTGGCCCAGTGGTTCTGGAGAAGAAGTCGAAAATGTCAAAGTTTACGATGACAACAAGGACTACAACAACAACAACTACAAAGACAGACAACGGACAAATTTTGATCAGAAAAGCTCACTTTAGCCTTCGGCTCAGGTGAGCTAAAAAGTGATTTATAAATAGTATCCATACCTTAACATTAGTTTCCTCAAAAGCTATCTGTCCTGACACATTTCTTATAAGATGATCAGGGAGAGGAGTACGTTCCACGATGTGATCATTTACGTGGTTTGTCCTAAATAGGAGCAAGAACACTTCATTAATATTAAGGCATAAATAAATACATGTACACTGACCACAAAGATTAATTTAAGAGCTGAAATTATATACAGCAAATAATGTGAAACTGATTATATACGAGGGCCGTTCAAAAATTACGCGAACTTGTTGCACAGAAAAAATATTTGACGGCATAATCGGGCAAAATGTCACAAATAATATAAAAGAATCTTTACTTATGTGGTCTTCAGAATTTCATTTCAAAATTTTGTAAATTGATATCAATTTTCAGTGATTTTTCAGGACAGATCATTAAGTCAGGGAGCAGCAAAATTTTCGACGTCACACTCACAGACATTATAAAAAATATGTTATTGAGCTTTCATTTTCTCAGCATTTTCCCAGGAGTATCTATACAGTTTGAGGTACCTTATCTACTCAACATCCAAACACCATTTTTTGTCACGATTAAAATCTATTAAACAAGCAAAGAATGTTCTTTTTTTGTTTTAAAACCAAAAACTACAGGTTATTATGAGATATAGTGTGATATTGGTGACTTTCAATCACGTTCTATACAGTACGGACAAAGTTTTCCTCGATAATCTTCTTCCCGTCCTCCCATATAGCCTTTTTACATGGGTTTATCGGTCTCAAATTTCATTTTGCTGTTTGTGGACGAATGTCACGAATAGCCTAGTTTACTACGTTTTTTTTTTTTTTTTTTTTTTTTGCATATTTTGGATCTATGTTGGCGATATCTCGAGCAATACACATAATTTAACAAAAGTGTGGTGCGCCGTCAATTCAGGAGACGTCATTTTTACAGTCGTTTTCACGGGAATCGCATCAGAGAAAAATCACAATATTTCTGTTAGTACTTCAAATATCACGTCAGAAATCTAAATGCATAATAATAGAACAATTTAAAGACACATTTGAGAAAAATTTCGGAAAAAAACGCGAATTATAGAAAATTAATGAACTAAATTTTGGATTTCGCAAGCTTTTGATTCAAATTTTTTGTCGTACTCCGTATCTCTCCATCAGCGATATCAACATACCGATAATTCTAGTAGAATTTTTTTAAAATACAGAAATTTTGCCCAAAATTTATTGGAATCTTTAAGATACATATCTCTGTGAAATTTCATAACTATATGACGTCTGTAAGAGTAAATATTAGCACAGTCCGCGTAATTTTTGAACGGCCCTCGTATATGTCTTCAAATTAGCCAAGTCCAATGCATTTTAAAATTTTGATTAATGGTTTGCTCAAATTAACAGATACTAGTACATGTATCTGCAGTTGACAGTAAACTTAATTTAGCATATCAAGCTTGTCAGATGAATAATATTTTTCATACAGAGCTTTAATTCTTAAAGATGTATAATTTTTTTGTTGCTTCTTACCATTTGACTGTAAGCTTGATATAACACTTTAAGTTTCTAAGGCCAGAACAAGTTCTACACACCACCATTCCATTTCCATAACAATTGGAACACCTAATAAAACAGCAAAAAATTTCCATTCATGTGGGGTTATTTACACTTATCATATCAAAAGAGTTCTGATGTACTGTATATTTTTCCTTCGGCAACATTTCCTTTTCTTTGTTTCCTTTATTAAAACAAGTATGGTAGATTAGACATTGTTTACATTCCATGTCTACTTGCAACAGGAGGATTTCATCCAGCATTCATTGTGTGCAACGTGTAGATCAAATTACCACTGGTAATTTTTTTTTAAGCAAGTCTTTTCTTAAATTTGGTATTCAAATAACTGACACAACAGGCACTATCTTGTTTCTTTGGGGAAAAAACACCACACAATATAAACTAAAACAATTTTTAACTAATTCAAAATAATTTAATTCTGGTTGTAACGCTGTATTTGATTGGATAAAAAATTTACTTTATATTGTATAAAATGGGTTGCCTACATCACAATGACTTGGTTCATACATGTTAACTCTCCCGATTTAGGCGGGAGTCTACCGCTTTTTCACTCCATCTCCCGCCTACCGATTTAATTCAGAAATCTACCGCTTTTCTACGAAAGCTGCTTCTAAAGTATTTTTGGTTCGCTTGGGTATCCATTTTTGAAGCCACTCTCATAAAATCTCGCTAGATATCGCGTGATTTGACTCGGAATCATACAAACGCTTTTTTTGTACATAGATTTCAAGCACGGATTTGACAACGACAACAACATAAGACTACCAGTGATTACATTGGATACGATAAATTAATCAACATCCCTGCCATGAAAAAGGAGATACAGCTTTTAAGAATTAGATGAAAACATTTGACATCGTCTTTAAAAGCACAGAAGCTCACACCTTTATCAATAAATTCAATAGAAATCACTCGATTGACCAAGCCATGTGGCACAAATCATCGCGGGAAATCTGATTTATATAAGGAAAGATACGAACTTGCTTTAGATCTAGATTAAACCATGCCATCATTTGTTTTGTTTAAAAACTGAATGAACATTCAGAATTATTGCTTCAAGGCTATTTCAGCAAAGATCACTCTTCAAAAGGCTAAGTAAAGCAGCCAATCCAAGCAAAATGATGAGCATGAAAAATATTTGAATTTGTACAATTTATGTCAAACTTAAGGTGTTTCTGTCTTCTTCTTTGCTGTTGATATTTAAGATTAATTAGTGTAGGTACCTAATTTCATTTAAGGCTTATAATATACATGTATATTACATGAAAGATATCGATAATCCAAGCGTTAAACAACACGCGCGCAATGCTACCGCTTTTGAGGTCTGAATCTCCCTCTTTTTCATCACAATAGGTTAACATGTATGCTTGGTTCAAAAACATATCAATCCGCCTGCATGACATTACATTCAAATTTTGTACAAATTGAAGTCATTTTGTTGAATAATTATCTTTTTTTCTTACAACGAATGAATGAAAATTAAATTATAAGCAATGAAATTAACCCATTTTATACGGTATAAACTGGGTTGGAACAGTTAACGCTTTTTTATAAACTGCTTCGTGGTTTATAAAGCGTATAAAATGGGTAGCTATTAAATTCATTCCCTTAACAAAACCTACATAACTAACGGTTAAACTTCAATCTCAAAACTGCCCCCCCCTCTGAAAAACCAGCTCCAGGAAACTTTCCCCTAAATATCTAATTCCTGAAGTCTTGTAAGATAGCTATTTAGATTAGTTTTACTGTATATCGTAAAGATTTTAACAAATATAGATAAATTAAGAATTTATTACTCTCGTCTTCCACATCCATGGCACCAATGACATCGCTCATGTCTGTGTTGGCCGTCATGGTAACGAGTCGCATGACCGTGTCCATGGCAGTGGGAACACCTCACCTACAATGCAGATTAGACATGTCATCTTAATTTGTCAATCTAGACTTAATACCGTACGTATCTGTATACAGAGGTGGTATCTTTGCCCTTTCACACAGGTGAATAATTTTTTCTCATTTTAAATTTGCCAAGTCACAGTTTTATTACTGTAACAGTGTTCTTCAAATTGGCTCTATTTTAAATTCGCCAAAGATTAGGGCAAAAACTTAAAAGGGAAGCAAAAAAAAAAAACAAGAGGTCGATGGGCCACATCGCTCACCTGAGCAATGTGGCTAGGAAAAAAAGCATAAATCATTTTATTATTGAAAAGTTGAAACCCAATAGTGGTCCCAAACAATCCTTAAAAGGGAGAGGGTTGATCTGAACAAACTTGAATCTACACTAACTAAGGATGCTTGCATATTTCTTTGACTACCTGTAGCTTTATTGCCCTTTACATTTGAACTTACATTGTGGCCCCACCCTACCCCAAGGGATCATGACTTGAAAAAACTTGAATCTACACTACCTGAGAATGCTTCCATATAAATAGGACTAATCATGGCTTTGCTATTTTTGAAAAGAAGATTTTAAAAGATTTTTTCTACGTCTCTATGTAAAACTTGGATTCAATGTCGAGTCCCCGCCTTACCCCCAGGGGTCATGATTTGAACAAACTTGAATGTCAATTACCTGAGCATGCTTCCATAAAAATATGATCATTCGTGCCTTTGCCATTCCAGAGAAGAAGATTTTTAAAGAATTTTCTTATATATTTCTATGTAAAACTTTGATTGGCCATTGTGGCCCCGCCCTACCCCCGGGGGTCATGATTTGAACAAATTTGAATCTACACTACCTGAGGATGCTTCCCTATAAGTTTCATCTTTCCTGGCACAGTGGTTCTTGAGAAGAAGATTTTTCAAACATACCATCAAATTTTCACTATTTCTGAATTATCTCCCCTTGAATAAGGGTGTGGCCCTTCATTTGAACCAGCTTGAATCCCCTTCACCCAAGGATACTTTGTGGCAAGTTTGGTTGAAATTGGCTCAGTGGTTCTTGAGAAGAAGTCGAAAATGTGAAAAGTTAACAACAACAACAACGACAAAGACAGACAACGGACAAATTTTGATCAGAAAAGCTCACTTGAGCCTTCGGCTCAGGTGAGCTAATAAAATGGGGTAAAAATTTCCCTGTACGTAGTATTTTGTAAAACTCTTGAAGCTGCTTGAAAAACTTGCTGCAGATCTGCAGCTCTTTTTTCTGAAAAAATTGGGATGGCCGACCAGACAGCTAAAGTGCCATCTTTTGAAAAAAGTGTATACAGTGCTTTATAACGTTATAATGCCAACAAAAAAACAAGTCCCGACTAAAAAAACCCGTTTTACCGCCATCCCCCGCCCATCGCCATCCGCCAACGTATTTCAGGTACAAAACTTTCCATTATCGTTATAATCACCCCCGATAATTACCGCCAATAATGACAATAGTTGGTTTGTTTTTTTCAACAATCGGATCGGTAGGTCCGCGTTTTAATTAAATAAAATGAAAAACATTTATATCAGAATAAATAAATAACCTTTTACAAAAACTTTTTTGTGAACATGTTCAGAACTAATTAATATTAATCAGTAAATACCATTGGTCATCACATTGTTTGGTAAGTTTTAATACTTTTATTGATTTGACTCTACAACCTTATCTATATTCCAGATTTTGTCTGTAAAAATCTCATAGGTAGGATTTTTTTTATGGAGCATTTAATGACAATGGATTAAAAAGTGTATGAAATTGACGTAAGTATTGAACTTCACAATTAGTATCAATTTCACAGGTGTCATGTGCAATGGAGCGTAGCTAATCCCTGTCGGTTGTCTATGGTGCGTAAAATTCACGAGATGATCAAGCCATACTGTGTTTACAAACAGTAATTGGAGTTGTTACATAAGATCCAAGTTTCTAGGTGTTAAAAACTGAATACCATGTGTAGATATGGTCAAATTAAAGATGTGTTCAATATGGCAGATATGGTACGTTTTATTAGTTTCGAATACAATGACGCCAGACGTGGATTGGAAGTTTTGTCTAGTGATCCGATATTTGGCCTCTAGAACTTTGCATCAGAAAAAAAATATATTACGTTTTGTTTTTATTAAATAATAAAATAAAACAATCTACAATAAATATTAAAAAAGTAAACTTGTAACAAAATAAATAATTTAATAACATTACTAGTGAAAGAAACAATTTCTTCTGCTTCTAAATGCCTCATTGCATCCCCCGTTATAATGCCACCCCGGATATAACGCCAAAATTGCCGAGGTACAAATGTTGGCGGTAAAACGGGGGAACACTGTATTTCATATTACGAACAAAAAAATGAGCTATAGATCTGCAGCTACTTGAAAACAATCTTCATTTTATCTGGAGTCGGAAAAAGAACACCTGCTATTACTTACCATCCCTCTGCCATAACACCGACCACATCTGACATACCCTGAAGCCATGCAGTCATGACAGGGCTATATAAGAGAAAGGACAAGACAATGACTAACTTCAGGAATATATATATTCTACCTTAAACATTAGTATTATAACCCTTTTCACAAAAAATCTTAGAGGACTTAGACCAAAATTTCAACACTCAGTCCACTCTGTAATTTTTTATTATATCCCCCGCTTGAAAAGCGGGAGGGTATATAGTAATCGTTAATTCCGTCAGTCTGTACGTCTGTCCGTCCGTCTGTTACGCTTTGGGGTACCCAACTCTTATCCGCAACTCCTCTCATACCACTGCATGAAATTTGATGAAACTTTCACAGAATCTTTATTACAAATTGCCATTGTGCACCTCCTATTTTACTTTTTGATCCAACACATATTTTGGGTTTCCCAGCCACAGCAAAACATGGACTTTGCCATTATAACTATATGGAGGCGGGGGTATCATTTAGTGAGCTCATCGCTCACAGTACCTCTAGTTTAATATTTTTTTCCAAATATTGATTGAAAAATGTAATAACAAAATATTAATATAATGATGTAATACAATAGCCGTTAAGATATTTGTTGTAGAATGGGGATTTTTTTTTTAAGTCTTCTTTGTAAGATTTTTTGTGAAAAAAGCCTCAGGAAATTACATGTACATACATGTATACCACATTAAACATTAAGAAATTACCACAGCATGAAATTGCCAAAATTTAATACAGTAAACATTACACATTTACCACAGTTACTCGCAACTATAAATAAACGATTCAAATAAATCTGAGTTAATTTGATATATAGATTACAAGAAATTCTCTCAAATCAATGACAATCTTTTGTCATTTCCTTTATAGGTAAAATACTTAGTACACATAAGAATTATTAAGACAGCATTCATCATTTTATAAATACTAGATTACATAGGTTAAATTAAATTTGCTATGTTGAAAGCAAAGGAAACATATTCAACTGTTAATCTCCTCAGAAAAATCTTACTTTGACAGAGGCAGTGTGTGGCACCTCAAAATTTTGTTCTGAGTTCTGAAACATTGTCTGGGGGGACGCCTGTATGTCCCAGGGCCCTGGGGCTGGGCCATTTTGCGGACCATCTATTGGCTGGCCTGAGGAAAATTTAAAAATAGATTTTAATAAATGATTTGAAATCTTGTAAAATTTACCCCTGTCACTTTAAATACATAATATAAATTGATTTATACTCGAAAATACATGCATTGTTCAGACCAATTTTTATATCAGTGGACAATTCCAATTTTTTTAATCAGTGATTATTTTACCTCCTATGTTAAAGTCAAGTTATGTGAAAATGCCAATTTATCCAGACCTGAAACTTGTAAGGGACGTAACAAAGATACCATATACATAAACATGTATTTAACAAGGACATATGATTTGAAAATTAAAAACATTTACCATGCTGACAATAAATTTCAACTTAAAGTTTAGGGAAAAACTCCAGGAAAAATTTATGTTAATTCTGTTGCCTCTATGAAAGTGAGAGAGAATAATGAGAAAATCTGAGTGGGTCACCTTTAAAATCCTACCTGAGTAGGGTTCATATGCCCAGCAGGTGGATCTACCTTCTCCATAGGACTCCAGAGTATACTAAAAATAAACACAGAAGTCAATTCAAACAAGACACTTTAATTTTTTTTCTTGTACAGTAGAACAAGCGCCAAACATCATGAAACTTGACTTATCAAAGATGAGTTATTACCAATAAAATAAGCCATTTAATATGACTTCTGACAGAAAGCAGCTTACATGAAATGCACTAGTGGATATGAGGTCTGTAAATTTAAGATCCTCTGCGGCCCCTTTACCGTAGCAGCAGTGTTCTGCCACATAACCGAGGAGTGCCTCCCTAGCATCCTGTTCTGTAATGGTTGGGACACTGAAATAGGGAATTTGCAATCAAGGCTGATATCAAAACACAGATTATTTCCTGTATTAAGTTTTAAACACGTAAAAAAAAATTCAAAATCATACTTTAACTTTAATCACACACATATGTATTACATGTAATTACTTCAATTCTGCATAAAGCTTTTTCCACACAAGATTTTTTTTTTTTAATCAACATAGTTCAAGTTACTGTAGCATCAAATATAATTATGAGCATAGTGGACAACAAATTTTAAATGTTCATTTGTGGATCACTCTTACCCATAAATCTACATCACCATGATTTGGGGCATGGCCATCATTCTGTCAATTCATAGATTAATTCACTAAATCTTTGGGATTTAATAGCCATCCAGGAAATCACCCACAAGCATGGAAAGGTTTGGATGTTCACTAACTCCGAAACCCATCCCATCCCCTTCATTAAATAATTTTGTCAGTACATGTAAAATATGGTGACCTTCCCTGTGACTTTTCAATGACCTACTTTCATGTGACCTACTTTTTCATGACCTACTTTTCTGTGACCTACTTTTGAATGGCCTGTCTCTCCTCTGGTGGCTGCTGTTTTGTAACTTCATCATAGGATGGTGGAGGAAGAACATCTGAAGTAAATAAATTAATTTGCTGAAAATTTATCTGATAAAAAAACATCAAATCATTGAGTTTACCTTATTGGGCTCATAAGGAAAAAATTGTTATATAAATAAATACAATGTATTTTTTAAAGTGCAATTGGAAAAAAAAAATTTTTTTAGCTGAATGCAATACTAGTATGTATGCATGAATATGCCTAAATTCAGAATAAGGAAAAGGTGCTAGCGTCTCTATCAATTTAAAGTGGGAAAAAAATGAACCCAAAGTCTAAGAGTCTTATAAGCGTGGGATTTCATATTTTCATCATTTATACGAACTCTCATCATCTCAAGCCATATGGTCCAGAGTCCTCATTTAGCTTTTCTCCTACCCATGGCTGCTTGATTACATGAAATATCGTAATTTTGAACAATTACACATCTATGCTTTGTTGACATATTCATCAGATGAAAATAACTGTTTTGACCACAAAGAAATCAACAACTGACTTCAATTATAAACAAGGCATTCTCAATAAATTGTTATTGGGTATCATTCAAAAGGTTTGCTTTAAGTTTGTTTTATGACTATGCTTTACTTACACTGGTAAATGTTTTTGAAAATGAGCTGTGAAATATAGTATACTCTTCTCAGTAAACCATTGCCAGAATGCAAAAGGATTGTACATCTGTTTTAGTTAGATGGTAATGTAATAGATCTACTTTAACTTACGCGCACTAAATCCCACATTATTGTAGCCTCCTATACTGTCCATTTTCTCCAGGGGTGGGGCTGTAGGTGCCGTTTCTTTCTGGTTTGGGTCATCCATGACGTCTTCATCTGGCATCTCCCCAGTATACTTTGGAATAGACCCTGCAGGAGGGGGTGCTCCACCTGAGTATAAATTCACATTAAAGTAATATGCTACAAAACATTACAATGATAAAGTTCTGAAAAGTTCATACATTTATAATAACAAAGTCATAACTTTTAAATTTAAAATAACAAAGTAACAACTTTTAAATTATATGTCAGTCATTATACCTTTTCTGTAATCACTTTGGATGCCCATTTCAAGGGCATTTCAATATTTTCTTTGTATTTTCTTTGTATATGGTACCACTGCTTGATGGAGACCTCACCTTGTGGGGGATAAGCTCCAGCTGGTGGTGGTCCCCCTCCTTGGTATGCCCCTGCTGGTGGTCCTCCTCCTTGGTATGCCCCCGCCGGTGGTCCCCCTCCTTGATACCCTCCTCCAGGATACCCCCCTGCTTGCAGTCCACTTCCTGGATACCCCCCTTGTGGGGGATATCCTCCCTGTGGTGGGTACCCCCCTCCTTGTGGTTGTGCTCCATATCCCCCTTGGTTACTGAAAAGTAAAAACAAACTTCCTAAATAACTGTTAGCCACAGGTACATTATACTGGGGTATTATTAGTTACATAGTCTTTTAGTGACAGGGTATGGGATGATACCTGGTTAGTAAATTTTATACCTGGCGAGGCAGAGCCAAGTCAGGTATGAAATTTACTAACCGGGGGCCCGTTTTACAAAAGAACTTACAACTAAGACCAAAAACCTAAGATTATTGTAAAATTTTTCAAAGTTTATAATTCTCTTTGAAATTGTCTGTATAAAAACATCTTACCACATTCTTTTTAAAAAGTTTAAAATAATTTTCGATATAATGTTAATTAAAAAGTTATATGAATAATTAAACTTGGTCTTAAGTCGTAAGTCCTTTTGTAAAACGGGCCCCTGGTATCATCCCATACCCTGTCACTAAAAGACTATGTAACGAATTTACCCCACCGATGTAACATTTACGTTTTATCTGTAGTTTATAAAATAAATGGTTTTCTCTGCTAAATGCTTCATCACGCTTATACTGTGCTTATTATGACGTCACGTTTTTGTTTGTGATGTAATGCATCGACCGGGTATAGATTTACAACTGACCGGGTATAAGTAATCCACCGCCTTCACGTGACAGACTTCAACCAATCGTAAGCCAGGATTCCATGGAAAAATCTACAGAGGTGGGGTAAATGATTATACAATGAAACTTCTCCAAACCGGCCCCCCTGGAAACCGGTTCTCCCTGAACATCGGCCAAATTTTTTTGTCCCGGCAAAATTCTTAACATTTCTTTACACATAAACTCTCATAAAACCGGCCACCCCTGAAAACCGGACACCGGCCACTTTTCCAAGTACAAAAGTTAAGAAACATAGGAAATTTCCCCTCATCATACCGGCCACTTGATTGCAAGAAATTAATTGTCATTGGCCGGAGGGGTAAAAAGGACCGGCCGGAGGTGTGAAAAATAGCCTACCCACTAGAGAAAAACTGAAAATGGCTTCATAGTGTTTTAACCGTCTTGAAGGGGTAATCATCTTGCCAGACAACGTAATTGGCCGGTCTAAGTTGTGTACATAATTATGATTAACAATAATTAAACTTGAATTAATAAAATATCAAGCAATTAATAAATTTAAATCACAGAATGAATCAAGAAATTATCGCACGCCATATTGCATCATCTTTTTAAATACACATAAGCGGCCTTAAAATTTGTTACAGATACATAATGCTAAGAAAAAATATATTATATTAGTAAAATGTTTACCAAAATATACATTTTTAGGTCACCTGAGTAAACTCAGGTGACCTATTGCTATCCGTTTTCGTCCGTCGTCGTGCGACGTGCGTCGTCCGTCGTCCATCGTGTGTTAACATTTGAACATTTTCAGCTTCTTCTCTGCAACCACTGCACCAATTTGAACCATATTTGGCACAAAGCATCTATGGCTAAAGGGGAACAAAAATTGTGAATTTCATGATCCCTGCCCCCCTGGGGCCTGAGGGGTGGGGCCAAAACCACTAAAATTAATGCAATCTTTAAAAATCTTCTTCTTTACTCCTGGACATCAAGCAGTCAAACTGTTTGCATGATTGTAATCAGCATTGAGTCCTCTACCAAAATTGTGAAATGCATGGCCCCAGGGTCAGGGGTTCTAGTGCTAGGGCGGGGCTTAATAAGTATATAGTGAAAATGCATTATTTCTTTGAAAATCTTCTTCTCTGCTCCTGGGTATTATATAAACTAACTAAGTGCATAGTTATGATGAGCAAGAGTGCCTCAACAAAAATTGTGAATTTTATGGCCCCAGGGTCAGGGGTTCTGGTGTTAGGGTGGGGCTCTATTTATTATATGTAGTGAAAATACATGAATTCTTTGAAAATCTTCTTCTCTGCTCCTGGGTATTAAATAAACTAACCAAGTACATAGTTATGATGACCAAAAGTGTATCAGTCAAAATTGTGAATTTTATGGCCCCAGGGTCAAGGGTTCTGGTGTTGGGGGGGGGGGGGGGGGGTTCTATTGATTATATAGTGAAAATACATGAACTCTTTGATAATCTTGTTCTCGGCTCCTAGGTATTAAATAAACCAACTAAGTGCATGGTTATGATGAGGAAGAGTGCCTCAACAAAAATTGTGAATTTTATGGTCCCGGGGTCAGGGGTTCTGGTGTTAGGGCGGGGCTCTATAGATTACATATTAAAATACATGAATTCTTTGAAAATCTTCTACTCTGCTTCTAGGTATTGAATAAACTAACTTAGTGTATAGTTATGTTGAGCAAGAGTGCTTTTACAAAAATTGTGAATTTTATGGCCCCAGGGTCAAGGGTTCTGGTGTGGGGGGGGGGGGGGCTCTATTGATAACATAGTGAAAATACAATAATTCTTTGAAAATCTTCTTCTCTGCTCCATGGTATTAAATAAACTAACCAAATAAATAGTTATGATGAGCAAGAGTGCCTCAACAAAAATTGTGAATTTTATGGCCCCAGGGTCAAGGTTTCTGATGTTGAAGGGGGGGGGGCTCTATTAATTATATAGTGTAAATTCATGAACCCTTTGAAAACCTTCTCTGCTCCTAAGTATAAATTAAGCTAACTAAGTGCATAGTTATGATGATCAAGAGTGCCTCAAACAAAATTGTAAATTTAAGGGTCCAAAGGTCAGGGGTTCTGGTGTTGAGGAGGGGGGGGGGGGGCTCTATAGATTATATAGTAAAAATACATGAATTCTTTGAAAATCTTCTTCTCTGCTCCTAGGAATTAAATAGACTAACTAAGTACATAGTTATGATGGGCAAGAATGCCTCTTCTAAAATTATGAATTTTATGGCCCCAGAGTCAGGGGTTCTGATGTTAGGGCGGGGCTCTTTTGATTATATAGTGAAAATCCATTAAATCTTTGAAAATTTTCTTCTCTGTCTCTGGGTATGAAGCAGATTAACTACCTATATAGTCATGACGAGCAAGGGCCCTAATATTGCAGACTTGTGAATTTCAAGGACCCTGGGTCAGGAGTGGGGGGGGGGGCTCTACTTATTTACTGAAAATAAATTGTTTGAAATCTGCTCCTTTGTATTTATAAAACATTCATTTATTTTTTGATAGGCAATTTTAAGAGTGTCTTATTAAATTTGTGCAATGTGTGGACCTAGGGTAAGGGGTTTATTTCACAGTGTTAGGCGCACTACTGATTATTGCTGAATATTACTGATTAGTTGGAACGCATTTTTGTTCCCCTACCCTGCGTATGGATATTCAGTAACCAAGCTAAGCAACTGCTAAGTGTACTGTTATGATGATCAATGGTGCCTCTTTCAAAATTGTGAATGCCATATATCATCTGGCTTAAATTAAAACTTGAATCAAATTCAATAACTGGAAAGTTGATGCATAATGCTCAGGTGACCTATAAGGCCCGTGGGCCTCTTGTTTATTAAAATAACAGAAATATTGCTCAGCAATGTTTTAATTATATATACCTAAATTTCACTGAGGTACAATTTTTTTAATGACGTAAGCGATACATGGATGTATGCAGTTTACTGTATACAGTTAAGGTAAAGGGTCCTGGTTTATTTCTTCGCATATGATTAATAAAGTAACTTTCCATGATTTTTTTTCTCTTTTATTTTTTAACTTCTTTCTATAAAAACCAACACGTATGACGAATTTATCCTCAATAATATTAATTTATTTTTTAGACCTTAAGAATACATTACGTGTCTGCCGATAATTAATAATATGTTGACAGATAATTATAACAGACACCAATTATATATTTTTCCCAGCATCTGTCACATAATGGTTCTGCAATTCTTCAGTATGTTAGATTCTCGGGAAACCGGCCACCCCTCTAGTCCGGCCATTTTATTCAGTCCGGCAGCTGGCCGGTTTAGAGAAGTTTTACTGTATTAGGGTTTTCATTACTTTTTCCTATGGTACACATGATGAATGAGTGTAATAATATACAATTTGTGAAGAAAATGTCCAACAAGCCCTGGGGTTAAATATCGGGGGGTGGGTGTGTCCTGTCCACAAGTGCCTGTGATATTGGCTTACTAAGATGTAGACAATAATTTGTGTAAAACTGAAGAAAAAATGTCACATTGTGTGCTCAATAAACTATTTTAGAATGATAATCAATGTAAATAACATATTTAACTAGAACTGTCCAATAGGAACAAATACCCCCTCCCCTCGCTTTTTTCAGAGAAGCTGCCAATTCACAAATACTTTATGGATCTAGAGGTGTTCACATTTTTCTTACAAAAATTTGCAGTGAAAATATAATTAATTGCTCATTATATTTCTTAATGAATGAAACAAAGGTGCAACCAAATAAAACAACAATACTAATACATTTTACATTGTAATTCCATTGTAACATTTTCTTTTAATTTCTTCATTAAAAACATATATTGCAATTATATGTCATGACACTCTGCAAACTGATTGTTGAAAAAATCATATTATACAAAATCAAATTAACCTTGATAACTTTATATCAAATTCATTTTGAAAATAAAGAGCTGGTCATCCAGTAATGAAGTGCTTTGACAGAAAATAAATTACAATTAAGAGAATTAGAGAAGAGATATCTTTAATTCTTGTGCCAGCAGCCAAATTCCCAGAAGATAACACATGCTTGATAAGAGATGTCTTAACAACTTCCTACACCAAACTCATTAATTTTTCTTTAAATGGATGCATGTCCAGTCATTATTCCTAAGAGACAAATGAATTTACATTATCTTCTTTGCAAATGTAAAAACTGTTTTAAACACTTGATGATGTGTCTTTTTTTTTTAGTTTTAATGATTAGTTTTAAGCTGTAGTTCACATTTTTGTACAGATATTCTAGATTCTATGTCTCAAACCTTATACATGAGCCCAAAATGAACATGTCAATTAAATAAAAAATAAAACCTTAAAATGCAGAAAAATGAACAAATAAAGTTGAAAATTCCAGGTGCACACCTTCATATGGTCAATAATAAGTTTACAAATTTTCAGAAAAATCCTTGCAATACTTTCTAAGAAATGATCTGTACAAAACCACAAAATAAAAATGAAAAAACACCTGTAAAATTCAAATTAATCAAACAATCAAGATGAAAATACCAGGTGCACACCTTAATATGGTGAGTAATATGTGTACAAATTTGCAGACAAATCCTTCCAATAGTTTCTGAGTAATGGTCCGTACAAAATCTCATCTACAGACGGACAAACGGACATGGTGATTCCAATATAACCCCCCCCCCCAAACTTTGTTTGCAGGGGGTATAAAAATACAGTTGTGATATAAGAATGGCAAGGAAGAAACTATCAATTTATGAATCCCCTTGCTTTATATCAAATAAGGATATATTAACCCTTAAAAATATCTTTGTGGGGCCCTTACATGCAGTCCACTTATTTCTCACTATATTCAACCCAGATTTTCTTCAGTCTCAATAGCAAACTGTACACAGGTATTGTAAAAGGAAACTATGAGTAACAACAGTTTAATTAATTTATGTCATATCATGTTCACTCTGTCCAATTTGTTTTTTCATGGAGGGTAAAGGTGAAAGTAATTTTTTTTTTTGGTGGGGGAAGGGAATTCATTAACATACACATTGATAAACATTGAGAAAAAAAATCATTTACACCTATATAAATTCAACATGTTCAACCAGGTAGCATTTTAATTTTTGATACGTGCACATACATAATATTATACAAGATATGTTATAGGATATAAATTCACAGCAAGAGTCTAGAGAAAAAAGAGGTACCTGGATGCTTCTTCAGCATTGAACTTTGAATATTGAACTTCAGGCATCGTAATATAGGAGTGTGTTACAATTAATTATTACTCCAACTTTTCTTTTTATCATATATATCACAAGATGGGTTTTTCCATATACCGATTTAAATGGCATAATCTTAAATCAGGACTGGTTCGATTCTATAAATACTCTCTGGCTGAAAACCTTATATACCTATAAACTCTATGTTTATTTTAAATGTTGTACTGTAATGCTGTGATGAAGTTGAATGAGTATCATTACACAAAAAAAATGTGTCATCACTTAGATTATCATATTTCAATATTTTTGACATCATGATACATGTATATATTTATTTATTGAAACATGTATTACGTACTTTACTTAACGGATATAGCCTTAAAAAATAATTTTAAAAATCCCTCCTAATAATTATGTCTAAAATTTTAATAACAATTTTTGGGCGGAATATTAAAGACATATATCATTAATTCAATCTTCAAATGCAACATTTAAATGAAATATAATTTACAAAGTTCTTACGTTCTCAACATAATCCAAACACATTTTGTAAAATATATACATATAGTTTTAAAAATCATATGAATTCTAATTTACAAATCTTATTTTTTCAAAAAACTAATATTACTGTGAGCACTTTAAGCTCACAAAATGATACCCTAATTCCCACATGATTACAATGGCAATGTCCCTGTTTTGCTATATGAGAAACCGGAAATATTATTTGATATGTCTATAAGTACAACATGGTACAACCTTCAGGTTATTTACAAAGGTGCAGGAAAAAGAATATAAACAGCTTTTAGACTGTGCCCAAGGAGGTGTGGAATTGTGCAATATACAAAACAACTTAAGAAAAAAAAACTTTGGGAAGATATCAAAGTGTGATGTTTGCAATTAACATAAAACCACAGGATTTGGGTATGTTCACTATAAGTACATGCAGAATGTGACAGGAAAACATTTCACGACTTGATCAAAGAGTAATGTTCTCAATGTAAATTCACTAGCATTATGTATGTCTGTAGTACTTGGTTTATCATATTTATTATTGTTTCCTTCCATTTCCTTTTTTAAATTTTGTCGTACATGTATAAATATAATTTCTCAAAGAACTTTTTTATACATTAGGTAGAAGGTATCATATTTTTGCACATATAGACTCTACATTAAATTATATGCACAGCACAGCATTCACTAAACAGATTATTTCTGGCAACTCGTTTAATATGATTTTCACAAAATATACCTGATATATTATAGATTAGTATATTAATTATATTGTTTGGGTAAGCATGCTACAACAAACTTAATTACTGTGGTTTACTCTTGGTATCTTTTTTCATGCTTTACATGCAGAAATCTGATTTTGAGCAGGGTTACACCATGCAGTCTGTAGTTGAGATTAGAAGTCTATAGGTACATGTATATCCCATAACATACCTTAATAAAGGTGTTTTTTCAGACATTTTGTTTTCCTCTACACATGCACTTCCCTGTGCATCAGAATTATTTTTATCTTCCTAGTCATATGACAATCACATGACATGCAGTGTTGTTAATATGAATAATTATAGGTATGATTGTGTACTCTGGGGGTGGATCCAAAAATTATCACATGCACTTTTTTTCTTTTCTCCTTCTTTCCGTTATTTCGCAATATATAGCAGGCCTTTATGAAATTTTAAATGTGATGGTACTAAAAAAAATCAATTGTTCTGGGAAAAAAACCCATTGCTTTCATTTGCATATGATGCTTGCTTCATTACGATTATCCTAGACGGAAGTTGACCAGGCTGACCACTTCCGTTCACAGGTTTGTCTAAGGCAAATGTTTCTTGATTTATTATTATTTTAAGCTAACATACAAGTCTAAGAAGATGCATTTTATAATTTAGCATTGAGAAGAAATAAAAACATACCTCATCATGCTCCTGTTTTTACAATATTTAATAGTTTACATGGCCTAGAGCACTCGGGTTCACCGTTGGGTCGATTTTTAACTGGTACTCTGTATGCGATCGTCAGTCTGAGATGGAACCAGTAAATGGGTCAATTAAATCGAGTTATTTCCCTTTTCCCAGTTTCTCCCAATGTTTTGCTAGAGAAGAGAAAAGTTATTACGTTTGTACGATTTATAGATTGAATTCGTGTACGTGTGTACGATTTTTTAATCGTTTGTACGATATAGAAATTCGCTTGTACAATTAATAAAAAGTTTCATTTGTACGATTTAAGTTAACGTTAGAAATGTATGCTTTTATAAATAAATTCATGTGCAGTTACGGTTTTTTAATTGCTTGCACGATTTAAATTCGTTTGTACGATTCATAAATTTGCGTGTACGATTTTTTTTAATTATTTGTGTAATTTAGGAATTCGTTTGTACGATTTTTTGTGATCATATGTACGATTGAAAATAAAACCCATTTGTCCTCAGGTGGATCCTCCCTCAATAATGGTTCTTTCAGGTTTCCAAGGTTTCTTCCTTGCTTTTTTTCCAGCACGTCTGCAAACACAGATAACTTTGTTGTGTCTCAGTGTATAATTATCTTCTCTCTGTTAACATGGTTAAGGCTACTGAAGATGAAGACAGAATATATTCCAGGTTGGCTGGTCTACAACAAGGATCGCAGTTTTGGTCGTCCGTCATGCCCAATATGTTGTCATTGGAATCATTGCTGTCGTGCAACATCAGAAACCGGCTTACCTTTGTGCATGACTTTGAATTCCTCGAAAATTGATGTCAATGGTAATTGGAGCTTTGCTCCTGTGCTGTACAACCAATGCTGCTTAAGCTTCTGGGGATTGCTAGCCATTTTCTAAGGTATCCATGCACTTATCCGTCGCTCGATCCATCGATTCAATTGATGTCATTGGTACATCGTACACAAACAGAGGTCAAAGAATTCGTGGAAGTACGCCGTGAATGTATACCCATGCTTTGTATTTTCCCGGTAAATGTTCATCCAATTCTCTAGTTGATTATTACTGGTGTCACTAACATTCTGTTTATCTCCAGCGAATCATCATGGAACTTACGCAGGTACTTGACCGGTTTTTCTGAGAAAGATGGGATAATCTCTTCTCCTACCCTGAACTTCTCTGTGACTTTAATTTTCCCATTTTCAATACGAGTCTCCTAGACTTTGTTGGCTTGATCTCCATACGGGCTTAACCGATGATATCTTATATCCCCTTCAAGCCTCTAGGAGGGTCTTTGTGCTTATTGTTCCTGAACGCTCTGACAGTGTTGTCGCACACATACCTTTATTGACCTCTGCTCAGTTTCTCTTCTCAATTGACTTCACTATCAATTTCATGGCTGCAGAGAACAGAATTACTGATATCGTACAGCCCGTGACAATCCCAACTTCTATGTGCTGCCACGATTTTGTGAAGTTCTGAGTTATGACAAACTGTATTTGAAGCCTGCGTGTCAAAGTAACTCTTGAGCAGCACCCGTACCTGCCTGGCATATGGTAGTGCTGTAGTGTAAGTTGGACTAGCTTATGAGGCATTGAACTATAAGCATTAATTGGCTAGATCCAACCATATGACAACCAGTTCTCTTTTCATCTCTATAGCTTCCCATATAATCTCCGTTAAAACACTTGCTCTTACACCCGAGACCCCCTAGCACTCCTTCTTTCTGCACAGCTATGTCTCTGTACTTGTTAGACAACATATAGGTTGTCATTCCCTCGGCCAGAATAGCCAGGATTTTTTTTTCGATGTTCATCAGGGAAATAGATCGGGACTGCTTAAATGGCATTGAGTTTTCCTCCTTTGAAATGAAGCCTCCCTCGGTTTAGCGCCAACAGTAAGCTAACCACCCCCTCCTCCCCACAACTCTTAGATGTTTTCATAAACGTTGGGTTAGTCTCGGATAGTTTTTGTAAACTTTGTATGGGATTCTGTTTGGTCCTGGTGATGAAGCTGCTCTAGCCTCCTTCCTGAAGACATCTTTGACTTCTCGCAGCTTTGGTTTGGTTTCATCGAACAAATGATCCGGATTGTCAGGCTGTATCAGCCTTTTGAACTCTCCTAAATCTTCATCCCTCCTTGAATCGCTATGCATATCCTTCAAATATTGTTCGACATCCTCTCTTAATTCCCGCTGTTAGCTTTCCCGATCCTTTGCTGCCTAAAAACATTGATTTAAATGGGAATGGGTTGGCTGTTAATCGTGCTCTTGCTCTCGCTCGCTGCTTCCTTTTTCTCCTCAGTCTGTATGCCCTTCTCATAATTCTTAGCTTCTCTCTTATCCATAAAGCTCTTCCTTAATTCAGCTAAAGCAGGTCGTTCCCTCTCTGATGTTCTAAACCGTTTTGCCAAGTGTCACAGTTAGTCATCTCTCTGTGTCGCCTGATCTTATTCACTTCTCATCTTGGTTGCTGCTTTTCCTCCTTTCTAAATCTGTCCTCTCATACCTTATACATTATTGTTGCCATGCCTTCGATCTTTTTGTCTATTCCTCCTGTCAGAAATGCGTTTAGGATTACATCTATATCATTATCAAACCTCTCCCATTTTTCCATTTTGCTGCTAGCTGGCCACTTGATCTTCATGATCTTCGCTTTCCTCCCTGATTCTACTGGCTGCTTCCTGAGTTCGCGTGTCTGCTCTTCTGGTGTTACCTTTTTTCTTTGGATTCCTCTCTCGTTGACTTGCGCTTGGACGCTGTGGTCATTGTGGTTAGATTCCTGGACCTCCTCATCCGTCTCACCAGGTTGTCCTGTGCGCTGCGCGAGTCGCTGAATTGGGGGCGCATCACATCTTTCCTATGTATATATTCAGCCCCCGCTCGTTCTATAAAGTCTTTCCACAACAACATGAACAATATCTGCTCGAATTCAAACTCTCAGTCCTTGGTCGCCCCGCATGCGTTGTTTCCGTTACAACAGGAGAATATATTATATTCCTCCGATATTCATTATATTGTTCATGCTTACAAATTGAAGATGTATTTCATTTCTTTTTTTTATACATGTAACAAATATGAACGACCAGGAAATGATATTGTAAGCAATACTCGACAATATAGCTACATTGTATTTGACAATAGTCAGTACTCATCCTTTACTATTCGGAAATCATTCCTTTTTGCTTACTAGATAACATATTTTACTGTGTTCAAAAGTTCATTCGAGATTCAGGAAGATTTTCATCTCCTTTTCTTTTTGTCGTTCTCTATGTTAATCATTGATTTAACTTTGATCCTTTATAACGCGAGAATTTCATTTGTGATTATGTTTTAATTATTATGTTTATCATTACTATAACAATTATAACTTATATGTGGCAAGCATTGTTGTCATTTATTTATCATTAATGACATGCATCATTATAGACTTAATAACGATGAACCTTTCATAATGTCTTTAAAATACGTATATTATGTATATTTATATCATGATAACTTCATATTTTCACTACAACTGTAAAAAGTTCGTAAGACAATCATGTACTAAATTATGATAATTGTATATATAATACAGGGAAAGGTTTTTCTAAGTTGTAAGAACTTGTAACGAATCTTTTTCGATAAATTAAACAATAAATACGTTAAAACAATGAATCAGATGACTAGATATTTAACAAACTATACATCAAAAGTCTTTACTTAAAAATTCATTATGCAAATTTTGCATTGCACTGCTCAAAAGAGACAACTTCTATTCCTTGTCTGCGGTAGAATTCTAACATATGTCTTTGCCTCGCAGGATTGGCATTTCGTGCACTCGATCTAGCGATCGCGAGAAATAATCTTGGCCGTCTCCACAACCACCTTCTTTGCCCGTTTTGTATCTAGGATGCACCATTAACTCACACGTTATGACGTCATTTCCTGTAGAACTGAATGCTCTGGTTATTTGTCGCTGTAAGCGTTCCACTGTAATGTCCGAGCTCATTGTCTGCAATCCTACAAAGCTATCGGCTGACCTTAAATAAACAGAATGACGAAAATAAATGAAAAATAAATAAATAAACGAAAAATATAAATAAATAAATACATGCTATCATCCATAAAATGTTTTCCCAAATCCTTCTATAGTATACACGAATACATACGTATATCTATCTTCGTCCTGACTGTCCAGGATCTGGAGATAAGATTTATTGCGCCAAGAAGATATAACCCTTGGGTTGAAGGTTTTTTCCCTTCTGATAATGACACAAACGTCGTTAAGAAGTAATACGAAAATCATTTTTTTTTTTTTTTTGCATTTTGATTTATACTCTGCATATAAATATGATTCTTACAAATGACACAATATAAATATAAACAAATACGCGACATACAATGTATTTTTAAAGTTTCATTAAAAAACATCACAAGTGAAAAGTTCATGCATTAATATTACAGCACTGCTCAAACGAGACAACCTCTATTCCTTGTGAACAATAGAATTCTAACATGTCTTTGCCTCGCAATACCGACATTTCGTGTTCTCGCTCTGGCGATCGCGAGAAATCATCTGGGCCGTCCCCACAACCACCTTCCAATCCTGTTTTGTATCCAGGATGCACCATCAACTCGCACGTTATGACGTCATTTTCTACAGAACTGAATGCCCTTGTTATTTGTCGCTGTAAACGTTCTATTGTCATATCTGAACCCATCGTCTGCAATCCTACAAACTTATCGGTTGCCCTAAAAACAATAGTTAAAAAGAAATGAAGATATTCATAGTTTAAATTTGCCAATATTAACGCTGTTAATTTTAAAGTTAAGTGACAGTACGTACACAGTTTACAATTTGAAGGTAGTTGTCATGCTGAAAATTTTGTATTTAAAATAAAATAAAAAATAAATTAAAAAATTATTTCAATTAAAATTTACGCAATAAGAAATTTTGAACACAAGAAAATATTTATTTTTGCGAATAAAGACAAAGCAACAAGTTAGTAAAATATCTTGTAACTACTGAATTTGTAAATCGAATGAAAAAAATAAAATTTTAAAAACGCTTACCATATATTATTTTCCTTCATGACAATTTTCGCCTGTGCCGCTTGTTCAACAACTGTTTTAAAAAACGAGTCTAAATCTTTGACAGCGTCTGCTGCCCAGGAATACACGTGACCAGGTTCTAGGTCTTCATACGGGCATCTCGTACTCCGTACACCATTTTCCTTCATCACTGAGCCAAATATTTTACAAATGCCTACAATTTAATATTGAAGGTTAAAAAAATGGAATTTCATCTTCTTCAAACGGATGAAAGGACTTCGAAACTTTTTTTTTATCTTCCAAAAATCATCCTACTTATTCAAAACGAGTCTGCTGGTGAAATTTTTTTCTTGCGACTTGGCATACAAACAAATGAAAAATGTAATGTACCTGGTAAAAGATGAGCGTGTTGGTGCCCGTCTACATGACTTGGCTTTTGACCCATCAAAGTCTCAAAAAGGTCAAGTTGGCTCTGCATTTCACATTCCACCTTTAATGAAACTGAATAATTAAGAATTAAAGCAATACGAGCTGCAATCTTGGTGTCAGCATTTTTTTGGTTGCAAAATTGTAATTAACTACAGTACTGTATTTCAAAGTCAGAGAAATAGAATATTTGTGTAAACTTTCTTTGCTCATATTTGCTACGGAGGAACTATTTATAATCTTTGTTTGAAGGAAAATTACATTACTGTCGTCCTGTACAATATTGATTTCTTAAATAATCCTATACATTTAATTGTACAAAAGTTTTTCTTCTGAAACAGTTAAGTACTTTATTTTAGTCGAATTGATCATAAAGATTTAAATTACATCAATGTATTATCATAATAACACATTTTAACAGCGCAATAAAATTATCAAAAATGCAGCTCATATTGCTTTAAACTGTCGATTATCTATCTGTATTTAGTCATGATAGGTGAGAAAATATTACAAACATTTACTAGTATTTAAAGAGATATGACGTTAATTCGCTAAGCATTTTCCAGTGGGCCATTTTTCATATTTTTGTTTTGTCTTACAGGTTCTTGGGGGACGTAATTTTCTGTTTTCTACTGAACCGTCAAAGCAATTCTGACTTTCATGATTCGTTGATGAAAAGTACCCGCGACACGAATTCCATTAAAATTAAGCCACCCAAGATCAAATGATTCCACAGTAATTTAAGATTTTGTATTTATTTTTGTAACACTGTTACAGTAGTACTTGAATTACCTCCTTCAAATTTATTGTTCCATTCGCCAACGCCTCTGTAAATCCGAAGTTTCCAAGAAAGTGGCCTTTGTCGTCAGTTAATGTTGTACACATTTTCCCAACAGGATTCCCCTCTGTGATGTTTAAATGCATACCTTTACACAAACAAATAAAGCATAAATAAAACTTAATATTTACATTTCCAATAAATTCCCCCTATGATTCTTTACAAAAAAAAATACAGTCCATTTTCTCAAGAACTGCCACAAAAAAGCATAAATATCTCCATTGTAACGTCATAATACCGAACCTGGTGTCAAAAAATATAGTGAAAACTGTTTTGCTTTAAAAATGACAGTTGAATGGAGTAATTTTATCGAAACTTATCAGAAAAATAATGTAAATATAAGAAATGAATTTAATTTTTGAAGATTCATGAGGCATCGTAGTTCATAATCTCATGAATCTTCAAAAATTAAATTCATTTCTTAAATATACTACATGTAACCGCCACCCAGGAAAAATATTATACAATTATTGCTGTTTTTTGAGGTCAATACAATGATTTAGCCATCTGAGGAGTACAATATTCAACGAGCCCGAATGGCGAGGTGAATATTGTACTTCGAAGATGGATAAATCATTGTATTGACTATTGACCGAAAAAAAACCCAGCAATAATCGTTTTATTTAGTGTTGGCAACGAGTACCCGGTTAACCGGTTAACCATCGAACGATGCGAGTATCGGTTAGTAATACTGCTATTCGGTTACTCGGATAAAAATACATTTTTCATAGTAAATACGTTTAAAATAATTTTTTGTTATTTGTAAATGTATATTGACTTATTTCTTTAATTTAATTAACGTTAGGATTGCTCTAGTTGTTCACAAATAGGATCGATTTGTTTTGATTAGTTTAATTGATGACTTTAATTGCCGGGGGGTACACGTTTTGGAGACCTGAGTTCTAATTACCTCATTTAGACCCTTGTTAGTCAGAGGAGCACACTTTGACAAGATGCCGCAATAAACATCCAATTATAAAGCATGGAAATGTTGTTAAAGAACGGCTGACTCGAAATCTGTCCGATGCAATTTATGTGAATCGGAGTTGTATATACGGTTGGCTACAAATATGCTAAATCACAAAGACTGAAAAGTAATTCGATAACCAGTGACTTGCATGAAACTCACAAAAATAACCAGTAATTGCAAAGTGTTTCAGGGTATGTTAATTCTCCTCGATCACGACATATATCTTCTTCATGTGTTGATAAAATTATTTTCTTAAACAAAAACAAATTCCCCGTTTCAAGTGACATTTAAAATCAAATTCTTCGAAGATATTGTGTTTTTGGAGTTTGTATTTTGTAAATAAAGTTCATATATGTAACATTTATTATTTATTATTATCAATATGTAAAAGGATGAGATTGATGATAAATACGGAAACTATAACAAAAAATCATCCGAGTAACCGGGTACTCGATCGGAAGATTAAGCGAGTAACCGGTTAATAAAAATCGTCCGATTTGCCAACACTAGTTTTATTATATGATTCACTGATAAAATGATACGGTTTATTCCCACTTAGCCAACATTTTGAAAAAACCTATTCCAACATAGCCAACATTTTGATTTTAACACCCGAGTGACCAACAGGCTATAGTCTGTTTTTAGGTATGAGTATATATGGATTAACATCCAGTTAATAACTGAGAATTACTACCATTGAAATGTGTAAAACACATAAATCGAAATTAAAATTTTAATCAATATAATTATAAAAATTAATTGTAAAATTAAAGTTCCAGATTTTTTTTTAATAAATATACATGGAGTAAAATCTGATTTTTTAAAAAAAAAATTAAATACATGTATTAATAGAAAATTATAGAATTAATTTTATAAGAAATGAAATATTAAATGATATGAAAAAAAAGAAAAGTGAGAGAATTTTGAATAATATAATTAACATTTGAGATCAGAAATATTTATATGAGTATGTAAATATTTAATTATATATTGAGTTCCATAATATCCTCAAAACTAAACTTCTTTTGAATTCCTGTCATTTTGTTTTATTTGTATAGCAGATACTATGGAAAATGCCCAAGAATTATTTAATTTCAATTAAAAATATCAATGTTTGTACATTTTAAAACAGGTATGTTGCAGCATATTTTGTCATTTATTTTTAAAACAATTATTCTAAATATTATCAATGAATTGTGCATTTTTTATTTTATAAGAATTGCACCAAAATCTACATGTTTATATGGCATATCTGAGCTAAAATATAAAAAGGGATTAAGTGTATATAAATATACATGGTAAAATTAATGTGATTTATATTCAAATTTAAATTCTCATTAATTTTGAACTTGTAAAACCTAGTGTTCCTAGAGTTTAATTGACTTAATTTTTTTCCGTTCTCTAAATGTAAAGTCGAAAAATAAAAGGGTCATTGTTAAAAATTCTTGATAACTTAGCTTTGAAATGTGCATGATTATGTAATATACAAAAAAGCCCTATCTTTACATAAAGTAATTAGAAAGGTTTTTTTTTAAAATTTTGATTGTCTGATGTATTTTAAATAAATGCATCAAATTAAAATAGATTAAAATTAATAAATATTTTATTCACCTTAAAACAGACTATAGCCTACCTGTAATTAATTTCTTTTGTTCTCTACCTGTACCCCATTCCCACTTAGCCAACATAGATTTACCTGTATTTTTTCAAAATGTTGGCTAAGTGGGAAGACACCAATGATACAGCTCATTACTTGTTTGCATTTAGTTAAGTCCTTGCCAAAGACAAGACAAGAGAGAAGCAGAATTAAAATGTAAATAAACTTACCAGTCGTATCAATTTGAAATGGGTTTTTTTTTTATCAATTTTAGTTGCCATGAAAAAAATGTCAGTCTTTTTTATAGGATAGATTTTAAAGGAAGGAGTATTATCAGGGAAAACTGACAATTGTTCGTAAAACGTAAAAATTGTTGTTCGGTAAAAGTGTTGGAGGGGGTCCCTGCATCCCCTCTTACCACCCTCACCCGAAAATATATCGCTTATGTTTTGTTCACAAAAAAAGTTATAGTCGCTTAAATAGCTTTCCAAAACAATTTGTATCAACTTGGAATCTCCCGATCTATTTTTAGATCAGGAAATAAATCCTTGTATTTACCTGGAACGTCACGTACAGGTCAATACAACGTTGTATTTTTCTAACATAATTAGGTTTATCTCATATGGATAAGCCAGGTTATTTCGAGCACAACATTTGCGTATTATTTTTATTATGGGTCAAGAAGGATAACTCTAATTTTGGGTGCAACCAATTTAGCGTCATTGAGCATGCTCAACTTCAGCTTCCTTTTCCGTCATTCTCCGAAGGTGTAGGCCGGGAAAATTTTGGTGAAGAATCATATCTCGATCATCAGCAAATTAAGGAATGTATTTTCACAACAAGTGAACCATGTTACGAGTGAACAAGTCAAGGGCATCGAAGGGGAGGAGTCCATATGCAAGGACCAGATCTAGTGTAGCCATCGCGACTTCCGCAACGCAATCGCAAGACGTCAGAACGCCCATGCAGCCAGAGCCTCCAGTGGTAGTCCCCATACGTACATTAAGTGCGACTTCCACATCATCGGTCGCCGGAATTGCCTCTACTGCAGGACTGAGTTCATTGACAGCCCAGCAGACAAACCCTGAAGCCATTCCAGTATCTGTCGCTTCAGTTATTGATACAGTTGCATCCCAACAGTCAACAACTCTATCAGCTCCAACAGGTACAAGCAATTATGACATAGAAAAGCCTATGTCTTTTCATAGTGTTGTATCACCATTAGGGGCTCATGTCCCCCAAGCTATGAAAGATAAGATATGGAATAATGAATATGTTCAATTAAGTAAATTGTTGATCAAAGAACCAACATCAGAGGTTCAACATCAGGTTATATTTCAGGAGGGTTCGTTTCAAATCAAACCTAAACATAAAGAAGAAAAAATTCAAAGTATTTGTGGACGGATGCATTTTTAATATATGCATCAGTCTATTGCATCAAACATCAAACAGATGCTATGGGTTTATTTCGTTACATTGCCACCATCAGAAAAGCAGCTGAGAGGTCACCTAACAGTTTAGGTTGGAGGGAATATGATGTTCAGTTTAGACTTAAAAAGTCCATTGAGTCTGCTTTGAATTGGGGTTCAGTAGATGCAGAATTATGGCTCTTTTATATGCAGCCAGTTAATCAATCAAAGTCAGGTCTCAACCAACAAAAACAATTTAAGTGCTATTCATACAACTTTCAGGGCCTTTGCGAGAAACCTAATTGCAAGTATTTACATGTTTGTTTACAATGTAATGGGGCTCACCCTTCTATGAATTGCAGGTTTGGCCACAACATCGTCAGAAGCCAACCTAATCTCCCTGCCCAACAAGTCCAATACAGGCCTAGATTCCCTCAACAGCGCCCACGTCAGAAATTCATGTACTAGTAATTTATCAAATAGATTATGGGACCTGGGTAATACCCCTGTAAAAGTCAACAATCTGCTATCACTTTTGCATCATTATCCAGATAAAAATGTGGCACATTTATTAGCTAATGGTTTTAGAAAAGGTTTTTCATTACAATATCAGGGATGTAGGAAAAATGTTGAATACAAGAATATGAAATCTGCTTCAGAACAGAGTGCAGAATTGGGAAAGAAAATAGAGAAAGAAATTCAGTTAGGGCGTATATTAGGTCCTTTTCCTTCATTACCTATTACAAATTTACGTTGTAGTCCTGTCGGTTTATTACCAAAGAAACAGGGAGGGTGGCGCATGATAACAAATCTTTCGTATCCACTTGGCCAAAGTGTCAATGATTTCATAGATCAACAAGATTGCTCAGTTAAGTATGCCTCATTTGACAAGGCTTTAGATATTATTCAACAGAAAGGTCAGGGAGCCCTTATGGCTAAAATGGATATATCGAGTGCTTTTAGGCTTTTACCCATAGCTCCAGAAGATTTTTGTTTACTGGGTTTCAAGTTTCAAGATTCTTATTACATTGACAAGTGTCTGCCCATGGGCTGCTCAGTTTCTTGCTCCTTATTTGAAAAATTTTCATCCTTTCTACACTGGGAATTGGAACATAGGTCAGGTCTAGACAGCATTGTGCATTATTTAGATGACTTTTTCTTTGTAGGAGTTGCAGGTGTAGAAGAATGTAGGCAATTAATGGATCAGTTTGAAGAATTGTGTCAGTATGTAGGTGTTCCATTGGCTAATGAGAAAACAGAAGGACCTTGTACTAGGTTGTCATTTTTAGGTTTGGGTATAGATTCAATAGCTAGAACAGTTTTTGTTCCACAGGATAAAGTTTCTGAATTGTTAGGGAAAATTGAGTTTGTATTAAGAAGTAAGAAAGTAACAAAAAAGGAAATGGAATCACTTTTAGGTTCACTGGCCTTTGTAACGAAAGCCCTTCCTGCTGGCAGGGCATTTTGTCGTAGGTTGTATGGGGCACTTGTAGGTGTATGCAAATCTTTTCATTTAATTAGAGTTTCAAAAGAAATTAGACTTGACCTTGAAATGTGGATAGAATTCCTTACAAAATTTAATGGTTTATCTCCCTTTCCGTCATTAATTTGGCTTGATAATGAGACACTAGAGTTTTACACAGATAGTTCTGGCTCTCATGGCTGCGGGGTGTTGTATGGTGATAAATGGAGTTTCATGGCCTGGCCAGAGAATTGGTCCTCAGAGATAAGAAAGGACATTACCTTGCTAGAATTTATACCAATCTTACTGGGTATTTACATTTGGGGTGTAGAGTTGTCTTCTCAAAAACTTTTGCTTCATGTGGATAACATGTCCCTTGTTCACATAGTAAATAATAAGACATCAAAAAACCCAAAAGTTATGATTTTGTTGAGGGCATTGGTATTATTCACACTGCAGCGTAATATTCAGTTAAAGTGTCAACATATACCTGGTGCAAAAATAGTAAGGCAGATGCTATTTCTCGTTTGCAGTGGTCGCGGTTTCGTCAACTAGCACCTGGGGCTCAACAGTATCCTTGTCAAGTTCCTACACAATTTTGGGAGATTATCAGTCAACTGTAAATTCCCTTCTTGATGCAAGCCTTTCAGTAAATACAAGCAAAGTGTATAAGCAGGGCTTGCAAGCATTCTACAGGTTCCGGTCAGAGACATCATTTGAGCAAGTATGGCCACCCCCTATCGATCATATAATTAATTTCATCGCATACATGTCTGAAAACGGGTGTTCATTTTCTACTGTCAAGTCTTACTTGGCAGGTATAAGTTTTTCTATTAATGTACATGGTTGGTTTAATCCCATAGATTCCTTTTTAGTTAGGAAGTTGTTGGCAGGTTACAAAAAATCGAAAGTAGTTGCAGACACCAGAAGACCTATAACACTTCAGCTGTTGCAAAGTATCCTACTCATATTGCCAAATGTAACATTTTCATCCTATGAATCCGAATTATTCAAATCAGCCTTCGTATTAGCATTTTTTGCTTTGTTAAGAGTTAGCGAGGTAGTGGCTTTGGAAGAGAACTGTATTCAAATGTTGGAATCAGAAATTTTTGTACACATTAAAAGCTCTAAAACTGATCAATTAGGCATGGGGATGTCTGTTAGAATTAATAAGGATCAGGATTCTGCAATTTTATTCTCCACTTTACAAGGTTTTCAAAAAATGCGACAAAAAACACAGGGTAGCCAATTCTTGGTCCATTTTAACTCCAAACCAATAACTCAATATCAATTTTCAGCTATGCTGAACAAATGTTTAAAATTTCTCAATATTCAAACAGCATCCTTCAAATCACATTCTTTCAGAATTGGGGGAGCCACACAGCTATATATTAGGGGTCTTACTGAAACACAAATTAAAGAAAGGGGGAGATGGAATTCGTCAGCTTATAAATCTTACATAAGACCTATTGTGTGAATATATCCAATACAGAACATTTTCAATTGGTAATATTTTCAGAATGTATTTGGATTGTTGGATCCTCTATTATACACTGGGCACAGAAATATGCAGCTGATAACATGAACCAGAACTTGAGTCTGTTCTCACATGAACTTGTTTGGAAAGGAGTTAGAGGAATGGTTTGGGACCAGATATATCCTACAATTAAATCTTTACTTCAAAAATATAAATCTCCAGCATTTCTTATCTTACATTGCGGAGGTAATGACATAGGCAATCCTTACAGTACACTATTGGGTACACAAAAGTACATGAAATACATTGTTGTTAAGCTACATGAATTGTTACCAAAAACTGTAATTGTATGGTCCCACATATTACCAAGGAGAAATTGGATACACTCTTTATCCAATTCTGAGGGCGAAAAATGCAGAAGAAGGATTAATAGTTCTTTGGCAACATTTGTTTTAAAAATGGGGGGTGCTTCAATCAAATATCCTGACATAGTAGATAGTCATAAAAGTTTATTCAGAAGTGATGGGGTGCACTTATCTGACCTTGGTAATAGTATATTTGTAAATTCATTAAAAAATGCGATAGGGCAGTTCACAGAAACTTCAGATATGTTGTATCCTTCTGTCCTTTAGTTGCTTGTCATGTGCCGCAGCGATGATTTGTACATATGAATTTGACTGATGTTGAATATTGATCTGATTTGATATATGAATTTGATGTTGTTGATAGAATATTGATTTGATTTGATGTAACAAGGGGCAAAATTGGCCACCTTCACTTGGTATTGATGGCGGATGTTCCATGGGATGCGATCTCATCGCATCTCATGGAACATTTGGCAGAATTTTGCATAGAATACCATCTCCGGGGGGCACTGTTTTTTCCAGGTCCCTCGGGCCAAGATGGTAGTTCTACTGCTTGTGTATATGTTTGTGTGTATGCTGCCATATCTTTGTATGATCGGCGCATAATTTGTTATTGATATTATTTGAATTATTTGCAATAAACGGCCATGACAAGCTCGCCAAACAATAAGTATAGTTTCTCATAATTATCCAAAAGAATTACATGTATGAACTTCCATGCGTTATGCACTATCTACGCATAGATTTACATGTAGGTTATAGGTACATTCCTATTTAGGTTAATATACAGTCTCGAAATAATTAGGTTTATCTCATATGGATAAGCCAGGTTATTTCGAGCACAACATTTGCGTATTATTTTTATTATGAAGGATAACTCTAATTTTGGGTGCAACCAATTTAGCGTCATTGAGCATGCTCAACTTCAGCTTCCTTTTCCGTCATTCTCCGAAGGTGTAGGCCGGGAAAATTTTGGTGAAGAATCCCCACCCTCCCTGCCCATATTTATAGTAAACATGATGGTGGCATATAAATTGAAACAGATTTGATTATTAATTAATGTTAAAACTATTCGTATTTAAGGTGTAATTTTGAATTCGTGTTTTTCAAAGAAAAGGTTCTTTCGTTCTGCTAATTTCTCTTTTCAGCGTCATGGCCAAAGTTTCATGGAGACGGTCTCATTCTCGATGTTTGGTCCGGTGACAAGCCTGTTAAAGACTTTGATGAACAATATATTGCTTGATGGCAGAATTTTGCATAGAATACCATCTCCGGGGGGCACTGTTTTTTCCAGGTCCCTCGGGCCAAGATGGTAGTTCTACTGCTTGTGTATATGTTTGTGTGTATGTTGCAATATCTTTGTATGATCGGCGCATAATTTGTTATTGATATTATTTGAATTATTTGCAATAAACGGCCATGACAAGCTCGCCAAACAATAAGTATAGTTTCTCATAATTATCCAAAAGAATTACATGTATGAACTTCCATGCTTTATGCACTATCTGCGCATAGATTTACATGTAGGTTATAGGTACATTCCTATTTAGGTTAATATACAGTCTCGAAATAATTGGATCTCAGCCAATCAGAGAGGTGGAAATTATTCAATCATATAATAAAAATGCTTTATCTGACCAATACAAGCATAAATAAAACTAATTATATACTAATCCCCACCTCAGGCAAAATTGGAAATGCCGATAGATCACCCATTTCATTAATTAGATAATTTACAGACATTGCACTTTCCATGACAATATTACCTCCTTTTAAGAAAGGCATTAATTAATTATATCTATTTATTTGATATTACTGATGCTGAAACAAATTTTCACTTGCGTCCTTTAGTATACGCTACTGTTTCTTCATTTTCAATCTGACTAAAATAAAACATTCGTTAGGATCCGAAATTCAGCAATGCACTTGCAACTGTCCAAAGCACTATTATAATTTCATTGCTTAACAAAGACCTGGTTTCAATTCGATTGGGTCAAATTTTAGTTCTTTGTTGTTAAATACTGTCCAGGGTTAGGTTTTATAAAACAAATAGGTCTGCAAGAATGCTACGTAGCAAAAAGTAATCTATATTACAAATACTGTGGACTTATATATGAATGTTCTAGAGTTGACTGGACGGACGGGTTTACGTTTTGTTGTTTTGGTGTTTAAATGTCCCATGGATTCAAAACCTCCATAAAAAACACCCAGTAATTAAACGTGAAATTTAATTTCGCATAAACCAAATATTTTTTTTCTCAAAATCATAATTTTACGGCCACAATATTAATTGAGCTATTTTACTGCTAATACCTAATGCAGATATATGCATGTTGCCATTCGTCATGCTGTTATAAAATTTTGCTGCACTGAAATTTGTTTTCAATGCATAGTTATTTTTATACCCCCCGCTTGAAAAGTGGAAGGTATACTGTAATTGGTATGTCCGTCCGTCTGTCTGTTACGCTTTAGGGTACCCATCTCTTATCCGCAACTCCTCCTATACCACTGAGTGAAACTTAATGAAACTTTCAAAGAATCTTTATTACATACTGTATTGCCATTGTGCACCTACTATTTTACTTTTTGATCCAACACATATTTTGGGTTTCCCGGCCACAGCAAATCATAGACTTTTCCATTATAATCATATGGGGGCGGGGGTATCATTTAGTGAGCTCATTGCTCACAGTACCTCTAGTTTTCATCTCATTTTATGGAAATCTGCCCGCCGTATCAAAGCCCTTATCAGGTCACCAGGTCACGTGATCCTCACGTCAACCTGGCCAGTGTTAGCTTGATGACGCGGTCTCTAAATATAGAATGTATCGTACCTGTCGGCATGCCCACTTCCTTGGCGCGCCTAGCCCCATCTTCTGCTGCCACGCCATTTACCATCATTGTCACCCCACTGATTGCCCCCTCCTGGAAACACTCCACCATACCTTTGTTACGCACAACACTATAACCGAAATCATCGGCGTTAATGACGAGGAGTTTCCGCATATCGACTCTCTTATCATCACTTGGACTTTGTAGCATGTACGGAAGCCGAGAAGATGTAACTGATGTATAACGATAGCACGAATCAAAAATCTAAATTTTCATCTGTTCATTGTCATTTGATATGTTTTAATTAATGTTTGGACTGAGTTTTTTTTAACAATTATGTGCGATCACAAATTAATTCCTACAATAGCATGTAGAGTTTATAACTCAATTATTTATAAGCAGTTTATTAAAGTTATAATATGGACAATTAAATGAAAAGAGGAGATGTGACCTTTGTGTAAACCTAGATAAAAAACATCATTCAGAACAATTAATCCATATCTTATAGTGTACGGCAATTGAAACGAGCTTCGACTTTAATGTTTTTCAAATGATGCTTTTAATTTAGTTCGCGGACGAAGCTCTAATGACATATCAAATCCTTGTGTGTTTATTGGGATGGATGGATTTTTTTCCATACAATCGTCCGATTGTTGAACTGTTATACGAATACTTCGAGATAATATCCAAGGATAGGATGAGAGATGTCGATTATATTTAAAGTGAAAATGATATGCAGATTCCATCATCGTCAAAAGACAAGGGTTTTCGGTCCACGGAGGACAAAATCTTGTAAATTTTTGGGCAAGTCCATAATGTAAGATCAGATTATTCAATAAGAATTTAGAGAATAAATTCTCCTGATGAAGCAACTTTAACAGCAGACCTTATCGTTGACAAAAATGGTCTTCACACAAAATCATAAAGATTGACCAAAATAATGACAGTTGAAAACATTAAAAATACTCCAGCCTTGACGATTTTTGTGTCGTTTGTTCCCTTCAGTTCTTTATTATAATGTGAATCATATGCAGTACCAATTTTGCTGCACCAATTAATGCGCATTTCCACAAATTATGTATCTTCAGTGATTACAAAAAAAACTGAGAACAACTGAAAAAAGGATTTCAAAGACTGGAACCAAGATCGTCAAAGGATCAGAGCTATATACACGAGAGAGAGGGAAAGAGGTAATCCTTAATTCTAAAATTAATTACTAAATTTCACAACAGAAATGAATAAATTACTATATTTTTAAGCTAGTGCCGAAGTACTTAGCTAATGAGCTGTAGAAACCATTAGAGTAGGGACTGACAGTTCTGTATGACACTTTTTTAAAGAAAAAAAAAATCCTCGATTAAAAAATTTATTAGTCCATGTATAATATTTCGCAGACACTAATTTGCCATTAAACAATAAGCAAAATAACATCTGGTTTTTATGAGAAGGCAATGGAAATGCAAATGGACATTTTATCAACATGTTGCAAATTTTATTGTCAATATAATGACCTTGTATTTAAATATACTATCTATCATACAGTAAAATGATGACATTATTCAAACAAGTGAAGAGGGCTTTTTTTTACACTGAATTGCAACACATAAATGTTTTCGTTCAAATACCTTTGACTACAGAATATTATTATAACCCCCCCCCCCCCGCTTGGAAAGCGGGAGGGTATATTTTAATCGTTATGTACGTCCGTCCGTCCGTCTGTAACGCTTTGGGGTACCCATCTCTTATCCGCAACTCCTCCTATAACACGGAATAAAATTTGATGAAACTTTCACAGAATCTTTTTTACATATTGCCATTGTGCACCTCCTATTTTATTTTTCGATCCGACACATATTTTGGGTTTACCACAACAAAAGATGGATACTCCTGTTATATTCATATGGGAGGCGGGGGGTATCATTTAGTGAGCTCATTGCTCACAGTACCTCTAGTTTGAATATACTATACACATACTTTCTACAGACTGTGGACAAAAGTATCGGAACGATTTACGACGTCGTGTAATATTTGGAAAATACTCGCGTTTGATTGGATGCTCAAAATAGCCAGATTACGTAACAACTAATAAAAATAAATTACATCATTTGAAAGATGAGACAATTTTGCATTTACCTGACAAAAATAAAGCTTATTTATTAAAACTTACCTTAATATTTTGTGATGTATCCTTTGGCCCTACGTACCGCGGCGATTCTCGAGGGGAGAGATCGATATAAATTTTGAATTGTTACGCAGTCAAAACTTGTCCAAATCGAAAATATTTTATTATATAATTGTTCCACAGAAGTAATTTCATGCATGGATTGTTCTATTCTTCTTTTAATCTTTAACCATAAATTTTCTATGATGTTAATATCGGGGCTTTGTGCTGGCCACTCCATTGTATTGATATGGTTGTTTTCCATAAAAGCTTTCGTTGCCCTAGAACGATGAACTGGCGCATTATCATCTTGAAAAACGTATCTATTGTCTGGAAAGTGTCTTGCTATCACTGGCCATAGATTGTCATCTATAATTCGAATATATTTATCTGAATTTATGTTTCCCTCCACACGTGTTAATGTCCCGACGCCATGATAGGTTATGCAACCCCAAACCATTACGGAAAGTTTTTTGTTTTTTATTGGTGAAATGCATTCTGGTCTAAATGCCTCATCACTTTTTCTCCAGATATAAACTTTATTGTCACTGCCAATAACAACTTGACTCTCGTCTGAAAAAATTACCTTTTTCCAGTCATCTTCTGTCCATGTTGATTTCGCACGACACCATGCTACTCTCCGCTGTCTGTTTACTGGGGAAATCCTTATTTTTTTCTTACAAACACAGCGATGATATTTTTGATTCTTCAAAAATCGCCACACTGTCTTTTTTGACACATTTCTGTTTTCATTGTTGTTGAATGTTTCCGTCAAATCAGCCAGCGGAGTTTTCCTGTTAGTTTTCACTTCTCGCAAAATTTTTCTCCCGTCACGATCGCTCAAACTTTTTTTCCTACCTGTTTTCGGGGCAGTTTTTACAGTTCCTCGTTCACAAAAATTTTTATAAATTCGATGCACAGTTGTTTTAGACATTTTAAGCATATCTGCAACTTTTTGAAAAGAATTTCCATTTTGAACTAATAAAACAACGGATTTTTTAAGACAATCCGATGCATAATGACGATTCTCAGCCATGATTTTTGGGGACAGATTTTACTTACTTTTAGGTTGCAGACGATAAATAATGACGTAGTTAATGTAAACAGGAAGTAGTCATCAACCTAAAAATACACAAGGTGTAGCAACAAATCGTGTCTACACCGAAAATGCCAGCTATAAATAACGCGAACATGTGCATCAATAAATAAACTAACGTAAATCGTTCCGATACTTTTGTCCACAGTCTGTACATTGATAAAGATAATGCAAAATTTTTTTCATTATCAACTGCTTTTCGACTATCAGTCAAATGCGGGTTTACAGTATGTAAATAAAACCCTTTGTTACTTGAATTATTTAATTACAAAGATTTTTTTTCAACTTTCACAGTCATTATAAATGCATTTTAATAGTTTGCAAGTCCATGGATGTTAAAATAAAAAAAATATCAAATTCATATATAGTCTAGTTTGTATTACGTTTGCAGTGTTTAACTCTTATCATAAACACAAAGGAATATACAATGGCATGTGAAATATTACACAGTGACACAATCAAATCAAGAAACGGGCTTCTAAACGAAGGTTTGACAATGGTAAGAAATTGTATAAGAATCAGTGGAATGGATGGAATAACTGTGGTCAAAATAGCACATCGTAACATTTTGAATGCCCTCATCTTCCATTTTCTCTGCTTGCCAACTGACACTGCTCTTGAGTTGTGGTTAGGTCTTTTGGTACCATCGCCGGAGATACAGGTAAAGAGGTTATGAGTCCGATATCCTCTAATTGATTTCTGCTGCCTATCTGATGTTTTAAGAGAAATAACATTTGTAACATTCCTTTTATTTTTCGATGATGAGCCATCAGTGTTCTCTTTCTTTGTGTCTGCTTGGGTGGTTTTCGGAGAAAGGACACTGCTTCTTAAAGAATTAATTTTTTTCGCAAGATAAACATAAATGCCAAATATAAAAAGCAGTTCTACGGAGAAAAGTGTGCGAATAATTCCCAAGATAATTTCCGTCTTTTCTCCAAACTGTTCTTCTGGACTACACGTATAGGACGGTCTGCCAAATATTGATACGAAGGGTAAGAAAATCAAACAAGAAGTCGTCAAGGATAATCCAAGAAAAATTATTCGACTTTTCCTTGTGATCAATTGATGAAAGATTCTGTTGAGTGAAGGATTGATAGCACAAAACCTTTCAACACACAGGTAAAGAAGATGTGTGATTACGTTATGTCTCCCAACGATGAATAGAGAGAAAAATATGGAGCAAACATACTGGGAATCCTGTCTCCAAAAGACCAACACGAGATAAAAGACATCGGTGAAAAGCTCACTCAGAGAAATGATGGTGAATATGAAATTCTGATTATGCTTTCGTAATTCTCGATTTTTCTGCATAAAAATCACACCAGCGAAATTAAAAATAATCGCAAGAGTCATTATAGTTCCGATCGTTGGATAGATGATCTTCCCAGTTTCTCCCAGAGGGTCAACAAAAGTAAAATTCAGTAAAACCATGTCGGTTCTTGAACTTCTATAACGCCATGTCAGTTTTAGCAATTCTGCAAAGCTATTTCAGGACTAAGGCAATTCTTTCCTTCCTCATAACAAATGGCCTATATGAAAATTTGTTTCATTTACATGGCTAATTTAAAGCAGTATAAATGTTGAATTATCGATTTTTTTGCAAGTTAATGTTCATCCCTCACTATAATGGAACATTGCAAAAAGCATTGACCTTAGCAGTCGATATTAAAACCTGCTTTATGAATATGAAGATATTGAATTGATAATTGCTCAGAAAACCTTTAATGAATAGTGGTTTAATATATAGGTATGGTGTTAGAAGCGGTAATATGATTTACCGGTATGCAATCAACACAGGAAAAGATGGATTGGAGGCAGAATATCATACTTTATATTAAAACACTTCATTTGTAAAGGGTAGTGTCTTTTTTCAATCTCATTTTCTGAAAGAAACATATAAGGAAGGAAAACTACAAGATTTGGCCTACGTGTAAATGGAAGGGTTTGAGG